TATTAATTTTAATCGGGAAAAATCAAATTTCCTTTGTTAGTGTATTTAGATTTTTTTTTCTTATTATTTTTGATAGTCTTTCAACTATGGAGTCTAAAGCTTTTCTTTTGCAAGAATTACTTATTTTATTGCTGCTTTAAAGTTTCATAACTTGCATGACTATTATGATGGTCAAAACACGATTTATCTATATTAATCAAATTGAAATTTAAACCCATTGTATACCTACACTTTTGCCTAACACAATGTATGACAGTATATTTTATAGACGTAGATTGATAACTTATAATATACGTAGTGTAGGAACTTACATGTGTACCTTTTTTACCGTGTAGGAACTTACATGTGTACCTTTTTTACCGTGTAGGAACTTACATATGTACCTGTCGGCTGTCTTCCGCCGTGTAGGAACTATCATACGTACCTTTTTTTTGTGTAGGAACTTACACATCACATATGTAGGAATTAACGTATGTAATTGTCTACCTATTACACACGTGTAGGAACTTACGATTCTCCTTATTTTATACCACTTTTTTAGAATTTCTGATTGGTATTCAAACACTTTGAACTATTCACAGTTAGGTACAAACTACCTACTTATAAGTTATAACCTAATTTACAATGCTTTTAATAATTTTATATTGAAATTACTTCTATTTAGATTTAACAATTGCATAGAATGGGTTGAAAAAGAATTTCCGCTTAAATTTATTTAATACTTTAATTGGTTCAAATGGTTCAATCGACTGGAGRCAAGAGAAACACATGTTTGAATTATGGTAATATGTTTCGTACAACATTATTATTCTTCGTCTTTTAAATTACTTACCTGTCTTCAGTCTACATATAGATATTGTAATTATTATATTCTGTTTATTGAGTCCGTTTATCCGCTGTCTAAAATATTAGAACATTACTAATTAGAAATTAAAATCAAAATTAAGAGGTTAAACCGTTGATTTTAAAATAATCAACTAATATACTACACACAATAATAATAATACCTTAAAACCACAAGACAGAAATAACATAATATTATAATGTCAATAAAAAGACGACAAAACAGCGTAGTTATAAATTAGTGGGTAAATCGGTACGTGTACTTAGAGAAAAGTTAATTAAATAAAATAAAGTGCAAAAAAATATGTTGTGCCTTATATACAAGAATACAAGATATTGAAAACTTAATTGTGACGAGCTAAAATTAAAACAAAATATTTCGGAGGGTACTAATGAATATTTATGGTGTTATAATTTTTTCCGATTGATTTTTATTTTAATAACTCTCGATAGCTGGTAGGTACTCAAAAAAGTAACGTAATAATATTTTGAATACATTTTTCATTTACATTAATGAAAACATTTTTAGGAAGGAGGTCTGCAGGATTTACTACTTAATATATGGTTTTGCTTGATAAAAAAAAAAATCGGCGTACGATCATAATTAATTAAGTCCCTTTTTATTTTGATTTATACTTTAAATTTATTATATAATAATATCTAAAAAGCCATTGTTATGGAAATAAGAATTCATTTTTTTCCAAATTCTTATGGTGAGAGGTATGCAGCATCGTCCTATACTAATATAAAATTATATAATAGATTTAAAATAAAATACAAGACATAAATTATTTGAATCATTTTTTTTTAAGCCGTTATATTAAATTCCTCCGTGTTGTGAAAACCTTTAATTTTTTAAAAATTCTGTAGAAATAATAATAAATACTCACGCAAAGTCGCAACAAATATAAATACCAACCGAATAACTGAATTATGACTATAATATTATGATTCGTAATAATAATATACATAAATAAGTATACATTTTAATTATAATTAATTATAAAAAATGTTATATAATTATAATTTTAGTATTCAAATATATATTTTCTGAAAAAAGATTCAAAMAAATCACATTGTTAGTGTATAATATACAGTTTAAAAGCATAACCGGGAAACTTAAATTTCTAATCAAAGGTTTGGCGTTGGGTTATGTAAACTTATTAATGTGTTCAACTTTAAAGTTTTAGCTACACACTAATACACTATAAATTAAAATAAGCCTTGAAAGTTTCTCTGTTATATTTTATATTGTATATAGTATGTGTCAAGTGTACCTACCTCCTCATTGAATAGGTAGGTAACAGTAATGGATGTGTTATTAAATTTGAATTCAATGTTAATCATACCTAAATAAAAAAAAGATTTTTAATGGATAGGGTGCAGGTGGTGCATCTTCTATTTCTAACTTTCTAGGATTATAAGATTGAGAAATTTAATAAGTTCATACAAATTATAATTATTAAAATGAATGACAGAATGACTGAAAGTAATACGGTGCTTATTTGCCAATCGTTCAATAATTATCCGATCAATTTTATCATTCATACCATGGTTAGTATCATGAAGTAGAACGGTAATAAAGGGGTGGTGTGATCTAGCGGAGTATGTAGAAACTCTAAAGTCATTATGAGAGGGGAGAAAGGAAGCATCTATAAGTCCATCCATCATATGCTCAAGAATAATAAATTAATTGACCACGTCTGTCTGCTAATGACTTAAGTTCATGATGATCTATTACTATGGAAGGTGGTATAGGTAATCATACGGATTATGTTCAATTTTCATAATAAGTCGATAATTTTATAAGTCAATACCAAAATATCGTAGAATSGTATTTAAGTAGATATAATAGGTTTGTGTCTTTGTGGTATACTGGTATGGATATAAATTGATTAACATTTWTTTTTAAATATATAAAATATATTACATTACATAATGTCGAAAAGTTTAAAATCTCTAATAATTATTGTTTTTGGAGTTTTAACAAAATAAAAAAAATCCATTAAAAAGTAAATTGTTATTTTTCAATTAAAGACGTTATTTATTCGATACATCAAATGTCTGTAAAAAAAATTGTGATTGTTTAACGATATTTTTAAATTGCTTTAAAAATAACTTGGAATCCTAGTATTTCTTTATTGAGGAACCTTGCCTATATTTTACATGTTTAAATTTAAGGCCTTATAAAAGAAAATCTTTAAAAAAAAATGTTAATAATTTTTAAGATTTTTTCAAAAATTTTAACTTCGATTTACATCATTCAGATCATTGTAAAACTAGTAGGCAGATTCATCGCTTCTGTTATAGCATCATCTAAAAACGATAATTGTAAGATGATCTATCAATTATTATTATTCTCCCGTTTAGAATACAAATTATTTTGTCATCGACAATAAAAAAGTGCTCTAATATACTTATTAAATATTATGCAATAAAGCAATATTTTACTTAGCTTTTCAAAAAAAGACATAAGTTCACTTTTAAATGTGTAATGTACCTACCTATGCATATTAAATAAGGACGAGACATAGTGTGTACGCGCATAGTTACTTTATAATATTTAGCTATAAGTATAGGTAACTGGTAGCTACCACGGAATATATGAAATTATATTTCATATATTCTGTGTAGCTACTAACTACAAAAAAAAAAAATACTTATTTTATACCATRAATACGTGCTATAAATAAGCTTTTTATATTTTTAGTTTACCGTCGTCAATAATTATTTATAGTACTTATAGTAACTAATAATGTATCGGGTAGTGTGTTTGATGTACCATGTGGCATATAAAACAGTATACACCTATACATGGCTAAATATAAAATATAAATTCGATGAACAATGTACATTATTAAATAATACATTTTATTATAAACAGTCATAACTTCATAATCGGTGGTGGTTTGAATGGTTTGATATTGCCAAACTTGAAAATAGTGGTCAGGCGAAATCAAAATTCAACGATCACAGCTCTTAATTCCAGTGACGGATAACATAGGGTACAAGTGTAGTTCAAATATCACCTTAAACATGGGTGGGTAGGTATAAATAGAATTTATAAGTAGGTTATAGGTACTTGAGCCTTAAGCTATRAAAATTGAACATTTCAAATATATAAAGACGATTCCTAATATACTATAGACCTGCAAGGTCCTTCAATTTACGGCCCAGTTCGGTGCGACAATTTTTTTTTGAAGCCCAGCCTAGCGCAGTCCAATTTAAAAGACCAAAAAATGTGTGTAAGAGGATTAAAAACGTTTAAAACTTCCCAAGGTTGTATCAGTAAGGAATCATATTTGATCAGGGCAAAATCCAAAGACGGCTGAGCGGCTGACAGCAATTTATTTATAATTATTAAACACACGGAGAATTGTTTTGCAGTACAATCAATACATGCAAATTTAAACAATGTACCTACTTACCTATTTAAAGACACTACGAGATTTGCACGTACTGGTTCTCAACAACAAATCAATAATATGTTTTTACTTACCTATTTTATCACAATGACAGTTAATAGTTATACAGTAACGTCATTTAAAATTAAAATAATAAAACAAAAAAAAGTCAACTAAACTAGTAAAAACTCGAATTGCCAATAAAATTAATAATCACAACCAAGATTAMGTATTTGTAATTCAAAATTTTAAAATAATATGTCAACTTATAAAGCTGTGGATTTTTGAAAATTGCATATTGTTCGAATCGTTTCTGTTACGCTTTTTTTTTTTTTGTGTTGATTTGATATCACTGTTATCGCGTTAACAGAAATAGATAGCTTATTATCATTTATCAATATAATATATTATTATCTGCGTAGAATACTATCGATATTAAAATAACAATAATATTATTATTTTGATAATAAATAACACYGTTTCGCAGTCTCGTGAGCGTGGCCGTGGCGGACGGCTGTTGGCGGCGGCGGCGGTATGTGTCACCCATCTCACAGACGTGTAATAAACGTTCGTTGTTTCTTCTTCCCCGCCCGTCTTCCGCCGACACCAGCATCTCCGCTTCCGTTATTTCACCGTAACGTGAGTCATTCCAGAAATAAACAYCTAACCACTTGCACTACATACGCCATYATACCTACACGGCTACACCTGCACGCACACGCACGCACACGCATACGTACTACGTAGGTACAACTTACTGACGAGTGACGACTGTGCCTACACCATAGATAACACCTACACACACGTTCGTCGTACGACCTATAGATAGTCACACGGTCAGTCGTCCGTGTCCGCCTTTACCAGTTTGCACGTATCTGTGATCTGTCGGCGTGTGTGGAATTTACTTTTTACCGTTTTTTTTTTTTTTTTTTTTTTTTCAAAAAGGGCCATTGTGTCGTCGGACCGGCCATTGGGTATGTCGTGAACGCGTACCTACTTACCACTCGATGGGACGGATCAGTCGTCGGAAGTTGGACAGAAGAAATCAAGACACATCGAGCTATGTCCATTATAAACCTTCTGTATGATGCAAGATGTGAGTATTCATCTGTCGGTTTACCGGGATGTACACGTTTGTGTTGGCAAACAAATAAGTTTGTTACCGTTTTCAGAATGACACGAAGGATTCGGCCGATTATCACTATGAAGCGACCGAAACGGTGAGGAACATTTTGAAAAGGCAGCTGCTCACAGCCGATTTGTTCCAACAGACATTTTTGACTACCATTCTCTCTGCTTTAGATAATCATACCGTCAACAATAATAGTAAGTTCTTACATGATTCCGTTATTAACTTATCACTGAAGTGTTTAAAAGTAATAATTTATCATTAAATTTAGGCGTTATCAATACATGGTTGGACACGCTGCTAGATTTTATTGAATTTTTACCTGTTGACTGCTTACTAAGAGAGGTATCCAACATAATATTGAAATTGTATTATTTTTTTTTATTTATTTAATATATTTCATTAATTTTCTATGATTTTTCTTCTAATATTACAATTTTGTTAGATTTTACCATTTGCCATTGAACGAAGTGATCTGTCCAAGCCTGAATCATTACGTTTAATTAGTTGCAGGATTTTTGGATCTCTTGCCCCTAAACTAAACCCATACATGTAAGTTGTTCAATATCTAAATTTTTAACTTTAATATTGTTTTATATTTATTAACTTATTTGTAATTTTAGTATTAAACGTGAAATATGGCCATGTATTTTATCACTTTGCCAAGATGAAAGTGTTCTAGTAAGGAAAACTGTTTGCCAAGAGCTAAGTAAAGTGAGTGCATTTCTTAAAGACAATTCAGACAATACAAAAGACTATATTTTGCTGCCAGCAATTGTGGATTTAGCTAATAATGCTGATTATGGTGTTAAAGTTGCTCTGCTCGATGTTATTGTTGACATAATACCATGCTTTCCCAGGGAAATAATTGTCACCGTTGTGGTGCCAATGGTTAAAAAACTAATTGACATAGATTTTAATAAAAGTATTATCCTAGTGATAGCGGTTGCCAAGAATTTTGGTGTCATTTGTAAAGCTCTTAAAGGTAAGTGATTAATTTTTACTGTTTTTATTTTTTTAATTATTCTAAGAAAAGTTCTAAATATTTCTAAATACATTTGTTATTTGTAGTATATATTATCTACAAACAAAATACAAAACTTTAATTGTAAATTAAGTGTGTGAAATATTAATGTATAATATGTATTATAATA